TCTTTGAGATGACCCATATATATAAAGGTGTCTAGTAGGTACTGTTCTGTCTGCAGAAGAAATGCACTATCTAATTTTCTCTCACCCCTGCCCCTTTTTTTCTGATACTGGGGATCAATCCCAGGGTTTTGTGTATGCCAGACAAGTGTTCTACCACTCAGCTATACTTCTAGCCCATGCTTAATTTCAATGAAATGCCCTATCATTATTAACAGCTTTTCTTTTTTAATTTTTGGAAGATCTACACATCCCAAGTAGGTTTGCTACCTGTATTTAATGTATCGTCCATTTTGTCCAGATCCTAGGAATATGGTAGCAACTGGGTGATTTTTTTTTAAAATTAATTTTTATTGATACATCTTTGTATGATACATAATAATCATATTCATCATAGGGAATCTGTACCTGTACATAATATATCTTAATTCTTTTTTCCCCATTTCCCTCCCTTCCCTTCAATCCTTCTTACTCTATTTACAAAACTTTGTTTTTATTGCTTTCTTTCCATTCTTTTTTTTCATTCTTTTATTTTTTTTAATCTCTTTCTCCCTGCCCCATTCCCATTTGGACATTTTCTTCCTACTTCCCAATACCTGTCCTCCATTTTGCTCCTTATTCACATTTTGGGTTTCTCACACAAGAGAAACAATGTGATATTTAAACATGTGTGTCCAATTTATTTCACTTAAAATTATGTTCTCAAAGTGCATTCATTTACCTAAAAATATCTCAAGTTTATCCTTCTTTATGGCAGAGTAGTACTGTATTGTATACAAAGCCCACATATTCTTTATCCATTCATCCTCAACTGGATGATTTTTTTGTTGTTGTTCTTTTATTGGTACATTTTAGGTATACAATTTGTTTACATTTATCATTGGGTGTTTGTACTTGTACATGATATATCTTGGTTCTTATTTTTTTCCCCATTACCTGTGCGCCCTTCACCCCCTCTGCCCTTCCCTATTTACATAGATTTCATTTCCATTTTTTTTTCTTTTCTCATAGTTTTTTCTTTCCCTCTTTTCCTTTCCCCTTCCCCTCCCTTCACTCCTTTGTCTTTGGACCTTTTTTCCTATTTCAAATTATCAATTATTCATTGTAACCATTTTAACTCAACTAGGTGATTTTTAAGAAAACTGAGTATTATGCAAAGATCCAAACAGGCACATAACAAACAGTATCATAAATATTTGCATACCATTTCCTAGTGTCAACAAAACCTGGTGATTAATTATTTTAGCCAGAAAGTATCATGCCATTTTTTATTTTTTATTTTTTGGGGGGTACCGGGGATCAAATTTGGGTCCTTGCGCTTGCGCAGCAGGCAGCAAAACCACTGAGCTAAATCCCCAGCCCTCATGCCATTTTTTAAACCAAAATAATGTTTTTACATATTTACAGAATATTATAAGTTTTCTGAACACTAAAAACTTTTGGATCATGTGCACTGGATCCATGAATAGCATCCAAATATACATTTTATAAAATACACATGTGGCTACCTTCACTGCAATGTTAATAATTTAGTAGGAAAAATTGGAGTTTTCACCATTATAACTGCAGAACTGAATGTATCTGTCTTTTGTGGGGTAAAGCCAGTCTCATTTAATTTGTTGGTTTGAAACTTCCTTCTCTCAATGAGTAGATATCTAAATGAAGCTTACAATGTACAAATCATTGTACGAGGGGCCATTTAGAATCATGACTATTCCTCATTTCATTAGATAGTTTCCTTTACTTTGACTTCCTATGAATAGTTTTCAGATGAAGAAAATAAAGTTTTAGGAAAGAGTAACAACGTTAGACATACTAATGAGTATAAAAAAGCAAATGGGAGGGTAAAATCAGCCCAGGTACATGTCACAAAAAACTATATATATAAACACATAAATCAAGTATAAAAATATTTTCTCCTAATGTAGACTAGTCATGAGAGAATGAAAAGAATAGGGACTAAAGTAGAATTGCTTAAAGAATTAAGATCTGGATAGAAGTCCATTTATAGAGATTCTGTAATCAAACAGTACTCTGAAAACTGAAGAGATTCTTTAATTTCTAGAACTATTTGATCATAATTAAGTATATACTATTTTTGCCAGAATTTAAGTATAAAAAACTTGACAAATATTTTATTATCCTTTAATCATAACCTATCCTCTGAACAGCATTTACAGTGACTCTACTATCCTATTGAGTCTCTTTATATAGCAACAATAAAAAGCAGTTTTCAGTAGGTTAGTGGTTTGTTGTGAGATCTTGACAACTAAAAGCCACAATTTCTACTATCACATAACACTGTAAATGTTTAGGACATTAGACTCTGATTATGAAGATTTGCATACTATTTTGGGTTTACATTAAGCTATTTTCAGTCTGCAATTTTTACATTGAAGTAAATCCAAGCCAGCACACACTTTAATCTAAAAACATCATTTACAAGTGACACATATTCAAGCTCAGACAAGCAATATGCAGAAAGTACAACTCAGGCGATGGCAAAAACAGGAATTACATAATTGATTTTAGTTTGGCCATTCTTTACCTGTACTACGTGACTGAAGTGACAGATACAAGCTTCAGAGAACTGAATTAAAATGAGTACTTTTGTAGCTCAGAACTACAAAACATTCTTAAAGCTTCACATTTTTAAGGATATGAGCCCTAATAAATAAAAAACCTTCAATTTTCAAACAAAGCAGAGACACACAAGTAATATCACCACATATTCATATACTGTTTTTCTCTAGCTTCTTTTTCAGGAGATTAACTTCTGGAGAGTAGAAATAGCACCTTTTATGGGTTCCACATTCTATATTTCACCATGCTTTAGAAGAAAATATGTTCTCAAGTCCCTTGAAAGGAAGATATGATAAATAAAATTTTTAACCTGGAAGAGCAAAGCTCATGCAAGTATGAATATATGGAAGTGAGGTGCAAGTGAGGAAGGGCATATGGAGAAACTCTCTGTATACGGTAAACTGATCTATGTCAAACTTGTGCAGAGACAGGAATGGAATAAGAAATGACCTCCAGTTCCCTCCTGTGCAATGTAGTAATCACATATCTGGCCCATGACTTGGGCCTATGCTCTTCCAGAATCCTGTAGGATTCCCTGTTTTTCTACTTTGCTGACCCTTCTAGAACTCTCAAAGACTACAGAGTTCATAGGAAATTGATTCAAGCTGCTAATCCTTGTTAGCTTATGATTGATGAGTATATGATTTTACTCTTGGACAAAACAGAAAAGGAGGTCAGATTTCTCCTCACTCATATGTATAACTGACTAGAAATTATTATTGTATCTGTATTTTGAAAACTATCATTGAATAAACTGAAGTTCCTTAAGAGCCACCCTGTGATACTCAGATTATATTAACAAACACTTATTTAGCACCTTTGCATAGGTGTAATGGCAGATGCCAAGGATATGACTATGAGTTAGACTAGGCCAACTCTCTGAGGTCTGCAGGAGAAATAAACTATTCAAAAGAAATAATTTCAGTGAAAAAATATAGACCATCACTCTAAACTGGGAAGATGAAAGATTTCTAAACCAGGCACTGCTTGATAGTCTTAAGGAGGGATGGGTGTATGAACAAAAGCATGTAAATGTAAAATGACTTTTAAATGGGTAGGCAGATATTTCATTATATACAAGTGTGTGTTCACATACACATATTTATTTCTCTCAATATATACACACAAAGAGGTGGAAGGGAGGGAGAACTGGAAAGGAAGGGAGGAGAGAATGAGGAAGTTGGCAAATGCTAAAGGATAAGACAAGAGATACAACTTCGGAGAGCCTTAAGTATAAGGATCTAAACTTCTGGTGCACAGGTGATGGAACAAAGAAGTGTATTCAGGTTTGCATGGCAGAGAGACAAACTGCATCATAAAGACATAGGGCCTGCGATGAAATTAAGACATATTTTGGAGGTTAAAATTACTGGGTCTAAACTGTGATGACATACATTGTTAGTAAGATCTATTTACAATATTTCTTAAGATACAGCAGCCTATACGTCTCACAGGTGGCACAGTTAAAGCAAAAACTGGGTCTATATAAATAATTCTGTGAGTAGATTTAAATTAGGCCCCTACTTTCCAACAAAGTAGCGTATTATTTCACCAGTCCAAAATCAATATTACACTTACAAGTGCAGATACTGGAATGTTTGCAATGGTTTTACTTTTAACTTTCATTATTATTTGAAAATTCAATTTCATTTTTTCCATTTGGATAAATGAAGAGGTGTGTCAATTGTCAGTTGTGTTCTTATTTAAACTAAAGAATAATTTACTACCCATCTCTTCCCAAATGCTTCTAAGCGAGTGCTTCCTCAATTAAGTGTCAATACTGTATATTGGAATAGGTTTATATAAGAATGGTCTGAAGTGGCACTGTCCAATATGGTGGCCAGTGGTCAGTTTGGGTGAGTAAATTTAAATAAGCTAATTCCTCAATGGCATTAGCCACATCACAATCATCTAACACTCCCAGTGAGTTGGACTGCACAGATAGAGAATATTCCCTCTATTAAGGGTTTATATTTTCTACTTGCACAATGCAGACTTTAAGCTGCATTTACAGGGCTGTCACGGGATAACAAAATTAGGCTATGATCAGAAGTCAGAGAACCTGAAGGACGGACACAGTATTTAATTTTGAGGTAAGATGAACTAACAGTTCATTAAATAAATAACCTTTAACCATAGCCTCTCTTGTAGAAAAGTTTTATCTGTTCTTTACACTTTCCTTCATGGCACTGTATTGTGTAAAATGCAGAGCAGTTTCAACAGCTGGAAGCAAAATACTATTCATGGTCCCCACCTAGGGTGTGGGAGTACTGATCACACTATACTCACAGTACTGGTTCCAAGTCAATCTCTCATAATCTCCTGTCAACCGCAGAGCAATGGGCAGGGTGTGTGTAGTGATTGCATCATAAGGGAAACAGTGACATTTGTTAGACACATTGCTATTAGAAAACAGATAACTTACCAGGGTTTGAGAAGCAGTAGAGAGAGAAAAGAACATGCTGGGAATAGGAGAAAAGGAAAAGACAGTTCTATGCTGAGGTGAAAAAAGGTGAAAGAATAAAGGGGAGAGGGGAGGAGAGAGGAGAGAGGGGGAGGGGAGGGGGAGAGGGAGAGGGAGAAAGAGAAATCTAAGTTATATTTTTTTCCTTCCTCTTCCCTACTGCTTTATAAAGAGATCTGAAAGCTTAAGTATTAATTTAATACGTTAGAAATCTTACATTGTTAATTTTCAAACTTCAACTATAGTTTTTTGTTCTGACTCTCACCTGTGCCCAAAGAAGTCAGTGTGAACAATGTCAAACACTGTCTTTTGAGAGTTTATACCCTCATCTCATCAGCTGTTGGGTTAAACACCTTCAAGCTCTACCATGGTCAAACCCCACCAAAACATTATCATAAACAGGATCCAACAAAATGGAGCTACATCTTAAGCCCTCTACAGTTTAATTTACTCCAGAAAGATCCAAAAGTGCTGGGGATTTAGCTCAGTGGTTCTGGCGCCTGCCTCGAAAGCACAAGGTCCCAAGTTCAATCCCCGATACCAAAAAAAAAAAAAAAATCCGAAAGTGTCTCATTTTTAGTCTTTCTTCCATAATGCTATTTTGTGTCAATGTACTAAAAGTTACATGTATAATTTTAACAAGGAGAGACTTAAGGGGTTAGGTGGTTAGTTGAATGTTCAACTTTCCCAGGCAGTAACAATGTCTTCCCAACAATGTATTTGAAACAGATGTGGTCACTTCTTAATATCAGTATGGTAGCATGGGCAAATATTTAATACGGCTCAAGAGATATGATTAAAAACAGCTCTGTTATGAATTATGTATGTCATGTGACAAACTAGCCTATTTTTCTGGGTCTCTGAAAATGAGCTGTTTGGATTAAATGGTAGCCAGATTCCTTGCAGCTCCAAGCTCCTTGACTTTAAAACTGGTGTCCGCTGTGCTAATTGGTTGGTAGATGGTATTAGATGAGGAGATGCTGTGGAGATGATTTAGGTAAAGGCTCCTTTCAAGAGAAAAAAATCAGCATGAACAATGTCAAACACTGTCTTTTGAGAGTTTATACCCTCATCTCATCAGCTGTTGGGTTAAACACCTTCAAGCTCTACCATGGTCAAACCCTACCAAAACATTATCATAAAGAGGATCCAGCAAAATGGAGCTACATCTTAAGGCCTCTACAGTTTAATAATACTCTAGAAAGATCCAAAATTGCCGGGGATTTAGCTCAGTGGTTCCACCACCTGCCTTGAAAGTGTAAGGACCTGCGTTCAATCCCCAGTACCAAAAAAAAAAAAAGAGAGAGAATGGGGCCTGCACTAAGGAAAGAGTTTACACCAGAAGGTGAAGAAGACAACTGTGTTGCTTACTAGTTTAACAGCTCTCCTTGCCAATCCAAAAGAACAAACAGAAATACAACAATTTCATCTTGTTATATTAGCTCAATGAACATTGTTATGCTTCTTAAGAAAACAAAAAATTAAAGTAGGACTGGGGATGTAGCTCAGTGGTGCTATGCCTGCCTGGCAAGCACAAGGTCTTGAGTTTAATTCCCAAAACCGGAAAAAAAAAAATTAAAGTAATATGTGCTAAGAAATCTTTAGACTGGAACTCTGAAAATCCATGACGTAAAAGCCACAGTTCCCAAAATGATGCACACTCTATCATTAATGTTACTAAATCTTCCTGAGCCCAAGAATATAGTTAGATAACATATGATCTAAGACCTCACATGCTTCTAACATTACTTAAATCCATCAACAACTACCAAATTTAAAGATCACAAAAATTATGCAGTGCATTTATTTTAAAATACAAATATTAGAAATATATGTGTCAATACGTAGTGACACCCACTGTTCTGCATGACTTATCACACATAAAAGGGATCTAGAGAGCCTACGTTTTATGAGAATTAAATGAGATAAATGGAATTTACATTATTTTCTATTCACATTTTTTCTTTTACACTAGTTAACATCTTCATATTAGCAATCTGCACTCTTGTTTGCATAGCTAACATATATTGCTTCACCTTTAGAAAAAGACAGCACAGCCTAAGACCAGCAAGTTACTCAACTAAATAATTAATAAGGATTATTTCTTTTGACTTCCATATCTCAAACATTCCTTTCAAATAATGCTGCTTCTTCTCAAGCAAGCATAATTTATTACTATTTGCAAATATAACAATGGAAGTTTATGGAAAGTGATGTATTCTCACAATAAACCAACATTTTCCGGTTTTGCTTACTTAGGCTTTAAAATATCCTTTGGCAAAACATGGATATGCTTTAGAATAATTTTCAATAATGGAAAAGAAATAGATAGAAACTGTTCTATCTCCAACAATTCAAAGCATATTTTATTTTTAAAAAGTAAGCTTTTCCTTTGTTACCTCTTGTAACAAATCTAAAATTTCTAAATCAGGAAATGACTTTTCATAAGTAGTTACCTTTTAAACAAATAAGGTTCAACAAAGACCATGGATCAACTCTGCAGATATATATGCATATTTGGAAAGAAGTTGGTCTACTTGAGTTTCATTAATGCTTATATATGTGTACACACACTACTTGATAAGATAGTAGGATCACATAGTACTACAGTAGTCTAAAATGTTTTGTTATGACTAATCAAGATAAAAATCAAACAAAATATATCAAATATACAATTACGGTGCAAATTAACAGATGAAACATCTTTCCATAACTGCTTGATTTCTTTCCTTTTTAATTCTCAAACGAAGGTTCAAGTGTAAAAACAATTCACTAAATTTCATTAATTCATAATTAATTTACCAAATGTTAAGGAAAATAGTCTTCTGAAACTAAATTACACTTGAGAACATCAAAAATTATTTTATTTTTAGTATTAACATTTTAAGAAAAGATAGTGCACAACCTCTTAAATGTTGGAAATGCTCATCTGGATTGGTAAATATCTTCACTATTTAGACTTTTAGACTATTATGGTTTTCTCTATTTGAATCATTGAAGGTTGTCTTTTTTCACAATGGACAAAATTTCTACTTAATGTCTCCATGAGGGGTGCTCTTATGAAGCCTAGGTTACAGTACTTTTCCCATCCCAGCTACTGTGCAACACTAAACAGGTATGATACGCAACTTCTGAAATGGGAGACTTTTGAGCTAAGGAAACTGCCTACTCTTTATTGTCACAGTTCCCAACATTAAATAGTGAAATTTTGAATAAATTAATTTCTAAATTTTCTTCCTTTGCAAGACTTTCAAAAATCTTTTCAGATGAAGAATAGATACCACTACTTGATAAAGTTGGCTAGTGCTTTCGAAAATGCATGTTATAGTGCACCCCAGTGACACATGTCTGTAATCCTAGTTACTTGGGAGGCTGAGGCAGGAAGATTGCAAGTTGAGCAATTTAGTAAGTTCCTGTCTCAAAATAAAAATAAAAGGGATGGGGGTGTAGCTCAATCGAAGAGCACTTGCCTAGCATGAGTGAGGTCCTGGGATCACTCCTCAGCAACCCCCCCCCCAAAGTTATATACTACTATGGAAACCCATAATATCAATTAAGTATTCAATAATTTCCTTATGCTTCCAAACTTTTCACTAATTTGTTACTCCTGAATTGACAAAAAAATTACAAAGTTTCTTTTAAGTAAAGCATAATTCTTGAGTGATCAGCTCTGATTAAACTTAATAGAACAAAAGGCTTTTGGCAGAATTTTTTTTGGGGGGGGTACTGGGGATCAAACTCGGGTCCTTGTGCTTGTGCAGCAGGCGGCAAAACCACTGAGCTAAATCCCCAGCCCCTTGGCAGAATATTTTAAAAGTAATCTATGAGTTGAATATACTATACTGGATCAATGACCTTAAAGATAAATATGATCCTTAACTACACTGCTCCTCTCTGAACTAGAAAGCATCGTAAAATGCCCTTTAATTAACTGTCACAAGGTCTGACTAGGAGGCAGAGGCAGTTATAAAACGTTAATCTTTAAAAGTGTACAGAAATAATTGAAAATTTTCTTGTTTTCTCTTGCATCTATACTAAACATAGGCTCTATTCCTATGTCTAGAACATAATTTTATTCCATTCAATATATTGATTTTTTTCATGAATCAGCTATTTTTTGAAATGGAGTGTTACCATAGAATAATAAAAATTTACCATTTTTTAAATCTATCTACTAGCTATTTATTTTTGTTTCTTTTGAGACAGAGTCTCATTGTAGTTCAGGCTAGCTTTGAACTCCATATATAGATTAGGCTGGCCTTGAACTTCGAATCCTTCAGCCTCAGACTCCTGAATGCTGGGACTGCGGGCATGTGCCACCATGCCCAGCTAGAATTTTTCATGCATAAAGTTATTTCATAAAATGCAATAATTTGTTTAATCACTCTAAATTCTTTACCAAAGTTAAACTGATCTATTTCTGCAGGCCTGTTTTCCAGATGGAATAACTTTAAGTTGAAGAGATCCACCCAAATACTTAAGTAAAGGTCTCACAGATACTAAAGGGGGGAACTAATTCAAATCTAGGCTGACTCTAAATCTATAAACCTTATCACTATGATTTTAGAAGTATAGATTCCAAACTATTTCAGACAAAAGAAATCTTATGCTCCAGGAGTGGTGTCCTGAAATGTGATTTTGAACTGGTGGTTATGGACCCACCACACCATCTCCACACCATTCTGCCTCCCCCAGATTGCTGATTCTGATTTGCTGGTCCTCATTCCCATGAGCCAGCCATTTCCTGAAGCCTCACACAAGAGAGTGCACAAGGTGGAAAACATGCCTCCTGCCCTTGAAAAGCTCACAGTCTGAAAACACACAACCCAATAGACCAAGAGAATATACAGTAATTGGAACCTGGCATGTTTCACAGGGATGACTTTGTAGAAGCAGAAATGGTGTCAAGGATTTTGGTGGAAGAATAAAAACTGACAGAAGAATTAAATGTAATCTGGATACAAAAGCTTGGCAGTGTAAATAAGACTTGTGGAATGATTTAATAACCGTTTATTTCAAAACACAATTTTAAATATTTCAATTCAATTCTTTCGCGCACACACACAGAACTACTAACCTTCTACATTCATGGCTTCTCTCAAAACCTGAAGTTTCTTCTGTCTCTCTCGAATTCTGTCCAGAGCACTTGATATTGCTGAGGGAGTGGGCAATTCTCGCGTATAACATACTGGATCCATTCTTTGAGGGCCAAAGATATCCAAGGCTATGCTTCCATCAGAGTATCTGGCCTCTTTTTTCCTAGGAGTAGTTGGAGTCCGCCCTGTGACGCCATCAGGGTGACAGCGCTGGTATCTGTTGATCTCTCCAGAAGAGAAATCTCTATCAGGAGAAGACAGCAAGTCCACAGATGAAGCCCAAATCTTCTTTTTGGGAAGCACATCAATGACAGGGACAACCTTTTTTTGTGGGCCATCGCCTTTGAGCTGGTAAGGAGTGCTGGTATTTTCAAAATCTTCATGTCCAGAATTATTCTCTGATGAAATGTTCTTGAAATAATCTTCCTCATCTTGAGTGTCTCTGATGGACAAAAATCCCATAGATTTACTAAGCCCTTTGTTAAGAAAGGTTTGATGAGAGAATGGAGCCTTGTGTATGTCTAGTACATCAGAAGTAGGGCTTCTTCCTGGAATGATAAGAATCTATCATGTATGCACAGAAGTTTTAGAAAATAAATTGGAATGTAACCCATTATTGACAATGAAAGCAGTGGTAATTTCCTAAATTCTATAAATGGAAGATCAGAGATGACATAGGATGATGAAGTAGAAAGACATGCTATGTTTGTCTAACTTTTCATGGTCCAATTCCCTCTTCTCCATTCCCCAGCTCATTTTTGTGGTGCTGGAGATCAAACCAAGAACCTAGAACATACAAGCATACTGAACTATACTCCCAGTCCAATGTCTGTTATCTAATAAACAGCATGTTGAACTTACTCTTTGAGCACCATTTTATTATCAAAGGTGAATTATTTAGGGAGGAATGGAGGGGTTGAAGGGAGGGCTGGGCAAGGGTGAAAAATAAGAACCAAGAGAGAGTATGTAAAGGTGCAAATTTCCAATGATGAATGTCATCATATTGTATACCTAAAATGTACCAATGATTAGAATGAATAATCGATAATGCAAAATAGGAAGAAAAGGTCCAAAGGGGTAGGGGTAGTGGGAGAGGCAGGGGAAAGGAAAGAAGGGAAAGGAAAAATGATGAGAAATGGAAAAAATGGAAATAAAGTCTTTGTAAATAGGGAAGGGTGGAGGGGGTGAAGGGAGGGCTAGGAATGGGGAAAAAATAAGAACCAAGATGCATCATGTAAAGGTACAAGTTCCCAATAAGAAATGTAATTGTGTTGTATACCTAAAATGTACCAATAAAAGAATTAAAAAAAATAAAAGGTGAATTATTAATTAGTTTTAAAACGGATAAAATTTGGTGATACTATTTGGTTTGGTACAATATTAATTATCTATGAAATGATTTGTAGTAATAATAGAATGTTCAATCTCTTCCTTTAACTTCTAAAGGAATAATTTAAACATACTACTTGAATATAAAAACCGAGTATATTATGGTCTTTTAAATAAATACATTTGAAGGGGAAACAATGAATTCTTGCTATATTATAGATATGAAAAAGATTATAGCATTTGGAATTCTGAAGTTCAAAATTTTATTAGAATTAGATATGTTTTTCAAACATTTTTATGGTGTTTGAAATCCAGGTAATTTAGTTACATTTAAATTATGAAAGAAACCAAATTTTTCTATGGCAAACCATCATGTACTAAAATAGTTTTTCCCTCTAAAACACAATGTATTAATTTCTGCCAACTGGAATAAAATACTAATTCTTACTTTTTCTTTAGATTTTGGAGTAGTTAAAACCAGTAACCCATTCTACTTGTTTTTAAGGCAGCAGTCCATATATGCTGAGAACCAAAAATGTCCATTCAGACCTTAATCTTGTGAACACACAGATTTAACAAAAAATCGTGTTTGTCCACCACTGAAGAACACAGAAAAATACTAATCCAATAGGCCATAAACATTGATGATCTCCCTGCTACCTTCTGCAACTTTTCTTTGATAGCCTGTCTGCTCTGCAATATAAAATAACTAAAACCTTCCAAGTAATAATAAATTGCTTATTCATGTACAGACCTTGATTATATCTTCTGAGTAACTATAAACTGATTCCATGACCACAAATTTTACTGTAAAAATGTTAGAAAAAATAAGTTCTTTTCAAAATGGCAACAACCTGCTTACTTGAGAATTAGATTCAAATACGATGCTTTACTTATGTCTCATTTTCCTCTAGAGCTACTCAAGCGCAAATATGAATAATATCCGTGCAGAGAATACCAAGCAATATGCCATACAACATGCAGACTGTTACAGACTCTAGCTTCTAATCTAATTTGAAAATTGGTAAACATGTTTATGTTATATATAAATTATATTATTAAATGAACCACATTTCAAAACAAATTACTTTAAAATTTTATTGACTAGAGAACTGAGATATTCTTGGAAACTGACAGCTACATCAATAGAATCAATAAAGACTGAAGAATCATAAGCCAAAGATGAATGCAACCATCTGCCTTCTTCTATTACTTTGACTACCAACAAGTAGTCAAAACTTGGAAAAATTCAAACAAGCAGGTATTTTACCAACACCATAAACCCACAGACAATCACTTTGGACAGTCAATACCGTGTGTTAAGAGTAGATTCACTCACTTCCATTATGACTATTTTACTTTTCCTTATTTTCCAACTTTCTCACCTTAACTTTCTACTCTTTTAGCTGATGATCCTGTCTCATAGTCTACCAAGAAAACAGAAGCTGTCAGAAGTGCTTTCTAGGGCTGGGGATTTAGCTCAGCGGTTCTACCACCTGCTCCACCTGTACTGCAAGTGCAAGGACCCAAGTTCAATCCTCAGTACCAAAAAAAAAAAAAAAAAAGAAGTGCTTTCTCATCTTTTCATGACTAATTCTACATACTCTGCAGATCTTTTCCTTGCTGTTGCAAAGGATGAAATTTCCAGCTAGTTGAAGGCCAATCTCCAATATATATTCTGGATTCCCATCTATTTTATCAAAGATTTAATTTTTTGGATTAACTTCTATGCTATCTGCTTATGCCTTCATTATTTCCTTTTTACTGAGTTACTTCCATTAACCAAACCAAGCCAAACCAAAACCCTCCCAAATTTATATTCTGACAACTCCCAAATTTATAACATTGACCTCCTCTGGAAGTTCCGATCTTCTATAATTGAACTTCTAGTATATTACAAAAGCACCTCAAACTGTACATGCTTAAAACTAATCTCTTGCTTCCCACAGCCAGAACTGTTTACTGTCCCTCGGCTTTTATTATTATTAGTGGTGCCATTATCCAGTGGCTTGCTCAAAACAGAAATACTGTATGGGCACCATTCTTAAATGTGTCATCTCTTTTAGGACCCCTATCATATTCATGAGAAAGTGCTAGTGATTTAAATTCTCAATGATATCTTAACTTCATGTGCTTATTTCCAATTCCACTGTCATCACTTTAGTCTGAATTAACACTATCATTTGGCTACAACGCTGCAGTGATCTCCAGACAGGCTTCCTGTTGCTTCTACTTTCTCATGCAACTATCCTCCATTCAGCAGCCCAAATATTTTTTTTAAATGTAAATTCCACAATGTGACAATCCTGTTTAATGAAACTTAAAGACATATTCTTGCATTTTCAAATCTAAATTCCTTTTACATTGGCCACTAAATCCTTTTTGGTCTTGTTTCTACTTCTCTAATTCAATCCAGGCTACAGATTTTTCTTCTGTTAAGCACTCTTAATACATAAGGGCCTCTGTATAACACATATGTTTCTGCTGTCCTGAATACTACTCCAGATTGTTCTCATGACCACTTGCTTCTCATCCTATAGTTTTATTTTAAATATGATTTTCTCAAAGAAATCTACCCTAACTTTACCATAATGTAAATAGATGGCTTTCCAAATGCATCATGAGATTATTCCATTTGAGGCAGGTAAATGTACTATTCTCTTTTAGGTCATTAGTATTTACTAACAATATACTAATGGACCATGGTGTCTTAAGAGAACCACTGTCTTCTCACTAGCCATATCAGGCCTAAAGCTAAATGCTAATTAGGTGGTTCTTGGATAATTCCTATTTGGGTTTTTATTGTTTTAGTGCAAATTAATTAGATATGAAAATATTTCCATACATATTTATTAAAAATCAGTAAGGTGTCATTTTAAATAAAGCAATATAAAACAAAAATTTATGTGAAAGTTTACAGTAACTTTGTTCTTTTTCTACAAAATATTAAAAATTAGCTATGGTTTGATTTGCTACATTTGAAAATCAAATTAATATAGGTAACTTAAAATCTCATGACAATTATTTGCACTTATAAAAGATGATTTTAAGACGTAGTTAAATTCTTTTCTGGTGTCCAATAGGCCACCAACAGAAAGCAGCTAGAAAAGAAGAAAGCTAGGAGAATAGTGATCTTCCTGAACAAACTGAACAAAGCTGAGGAAGTGTGAAACAAGATTCACAGTGATAGGAATACACCTGTCAGAGATGAGCTGGTAAAATTTTACGAGCTATGAATCACAAAAGGATAAAAGGAAGAAATAATATGGACGGAAAAAGAAGTGATGAGAAAGAGAAGCTTTGAGCTAAGTGCTAGTTTCTCTATTGGGTCCATTAGCCTAGGACTGCTTTTGTTTGCTTTTTGGAAGAAAAAGGAGACATATCTTTAGGTAGGTATCTAGGTATACAGTACACAAATGGGTTTTAGCTGGTACAAATATACCATTCTTCAATCAAGTATTCCTATCTCACAGAAGTATCACTGCATTTTATCATGTTAATGACACCATTACCTTCAACTAAACAACTGGCTATGCAATTGCTTAACCAACTCCTCACAGGTTGATAAAATTATTTTCTGCAAAAGGTTTCTTTATATAAAGGAAAATATATAGTATAATATAAAGTAGTAATTCAGTTCTGAAAATTACAAATCTTATTAAATAAAGTGAGCTGCTTTATGCTGCTAAAGACTAGGGAATAATTTCACTATTATAGGCACAGAAAATGGAAGTTCAAATATAGAACCTGGCCAGATGAATGCTGGGCTGGTATTTATTAAGTTCTACAACAGTGAAGATCATGTAGTGTTGTTAACATTAGGGCCATGTACTAATTCGTAACTGAGACTACACAGAGGGCAACTTATTCAACTGCTTTCTAAATTTCTCTAAACATGTGTTTGGGCTATTAGGATCATTTTACCTAATAAGTAATGAACAACACTGGAATCATTAAGTACATCTAATAGGTGTGCTTACTACCTATTGTGATAATAACAAATTGAGCTTATGCTTTTGCTGAAAGCAACACCATCAGAGCTACTCTAGAATGATTTCAGCTAAAAGGAACACATCTTGATATTGTCCTATCCTGGCACAGATTTCCTCCCACTATGCTCAAAGAACAAGTGCATTATGATACTTGTCTCACTGTTTAAAAACTGTCCATTGTATGGTCCATCTGTCATCACGCCCACTAGCTTCCTCAATCCCACTCCCAAGTGGAACAGTAATGACCATGTCTTTTTTTATATTTCCAGTCCCTAATAAGATTGATTCCAAAAGAATGCTAACAGAATGGGGTCGATTACACAACCTTTGGAAACCTTTAAAATTTAATTTAGGAAGCATAATCTACTAGAAAGATTACAATGAACAGACTTGGCTTTAATACAAGCTTTCCTTCCATTCATCAGTGTGGGCAAGTTACTCAACAAAATGTAGATATAATTTATTCAGTCTTCTTTTCAGAGATGACAGGATAAATGAAATAACCCATATGAACTATTTTGAGCTCTTCTGAACAAGGGAAACATAAAATTCTAAATTTTGCCTCCCTTTTCCATTTCTGCTTTGTTTTCCTAAGCATATAATCATCTCTTGAGGGGGGATTTTTAAAAGTTCTTTTGAGAGGAAATAATAGAAACCAAGCATCAGAAGATCTCCCATAAATGTTTTAGATTTATCCTTTATTTTAAAAGTATCAGGGCCAGGGATTTACCTCAGTGGCTCTGCCGCCTGCCTCACAAGCACAAGGTCCCGAGTTTGATCCCTGATACCAAAAAAAGAAAAAGATATCCACTAAAAAGTATCCCAGTGGCACTGTGCCTGCCTCACAAGTGCAAGTTCTTGAGTTTGATCCCCAGTACCAGGAGTGGGGAGTATCACATTTTTCAAAATAGGAAAAATGGTGACTACAAGTGGATTTTCCATCTCTTGGGAGGCTCTGAGTTCAGAGAGTTTACAGATAACATTAAATTACATAAAATTATAAGCATTCAAATTTAAAATAAAACCATAAACATTTTCCTTTTAAAGAACAATTTTAGCATAACTTGCTAAAATCTAAATGGAAAACAATAAATATACATTAAAAAGCTACAGTAAGAGTTTTTAAGAATATAAACTCTTATTAATAGAATATATTGCATTTATTTTAAATTGGGAAAAAAAGTTCCTTGTATATTGTGCTTTAACTATTTTTGTTCTACTGATTAACATGACCCCTAATTGGATATCATCTTTCACCTCTCCCCTCACACATAGACCCAAAGATTCACAGCATCTCTTAGAAGTTAACTTCAAACCAACATTTCAGTATTATAAGAGGCTCCTCAATTCCCCATCTGTTCTCCCAAATGTGTTCAAGTGCATTAAAAAACACTTGATGTTATCAACAAACCCGAAGTTCCAAAGCACTATCATGCTGATCTGATTACGGTGTAGGTTCCACCATAAGCCTGCTTTTTTTCTGCTTATTGAAACCATTTTACCAGCAGTGGGAGTGTTAAGTAAATGAAGCAGGGCAGACATCTCACATGTTTAGGCTTTAGCTTTGTGAAAGAATTCAAAAGCAAGATATAAGAAGACACTGAAAGGTCGTTTACTAGTAGTTGAACAGTTTCATTAAACTTTAGCTGATGAGTGTTTTGTTCTATATTATATTTTAATATCATACAAACAAACAAAAAATAGAAACAATAATAAAACACTTCTCTGGTGAAAGAGACCATCCCTCCTACCCTTGCCAATTTTTTTTTTAAATATGTGTGTGTGTGTGTGTGGTACTGGGGACTGAACCCAGGTCTTCACACTGAACTACATCCCCAGCCCTTTTAGTTTTATTTTGAGATAAGGTCTTGCTAAGTTGGCAAGTTAAATTGCTAGTTTTAAGGTAACCTTACATTTACTTACTTCTTTTAATCTAATTCTGATATCTCAATGCCCATCTTGACATTTTCTTTACTGAACACTGTAGTAAGGATCCTAATAAACTAAAGATAATAGTATGCAACATTTTAGATTGATGCCCACTGAAGAGAATACTTTACTACCAACGTGGGAAGACAAGACTGCTTTGCTGCAAGTGATAACTGTGAGTTAACTAACAGTGCCCAAAACCAACACCAGTGTCCTAGAAGATTTCTTTTTCAAGAGATAATTTTTGTTTCAATCTTTAAAAACTTTTAAAAATAGCCACTATTGGCTGCTAACTGCTTCTACCCCCTAATGGCTATAATTGGTATATTTATGTTGATTTTTGCCTGTGAAATAAGGTTTTAAATTTGTAAAAGGTAAATTAAGAGCTTCAGTGAAGTAATACTATTGTAGAAAGCAATGGCTAAGAAGGTCTTAAGAATCTTTTTCCATTACATCTGATTCAAACAAGGCTATTAATTAAGAATTAAGGATCTCTCTAATGTAAAATAGGAAGAAAAGGTCCAAAGGGGTAGGGGTAGTGGGAGGGGCAGGGGAAAGGAAAGAAGGGAAAGGAAAAATGATGAGAAATGGAAAAAATGGAAATAAAGTCTTTGTAAATAGGGAAGGGTGGAGGGCGTGAAGGGAGGGCTAGGAATGGGGAAAAAATAAGAACCAAGATGCATTATGTAAAGGTACAATTCCCAATGAGAAATGTAATTGTGTTGTATACCTACAATGTACCAATAAAAGAATTTAATACAAAAAAAAAAGAATTAAGGATCTCTAATTCTGCTAAAAAATATAAACATAAAATCAGGTTTATCCTGAGTGACTAACTGCAATTCCTGAAAATTTTATTCTCTAGTGAAGATTTTATTCTCTGAGATCAGCACTAGAGAATAAGATCAATGGATAGTCTATTAAGGGTCTACTAATTTGTGGTCATTTCAAATACACCTTCATTATCTGTGTTTGGACAGTCTGTTTCTTTAGTTCTAAAATGGGAGAATAACTTAAAATTTAATAGATTAACAAATTGCTGTTATTCTTAGCATCAAGTTTCATTTTATATCCTACCTCAAATCCTAGAATAGTAAAGGGAAATGGATTTTTACCCCTAAGGCATAAGTATGGTAAAGGAAACACAAAAAATGATTTTAAATACGCTAACTGCCATCAAGCATTGTAAAAAGCAATTTAGACAAAGTCTAGCTTGCATTTTTTATCCACATATAAATAATATATGTATTAGAAAAGAAACTTCATCTAACCAGAAATTGATTTATCTTGACATGAAAGCTAAGATATTTTTACAGAAAAAAATCCTTATTCAAAGTAAGTAACATGAAGCACCAAAATGACAAGTGTATCATTAGAGAATCACTTCCTTAGAAACAATTTTACTGCTTTTCTTTGACTTCATAAGCAATTCAATTGTTTATATTATAGTCCTTGTATTGAGAGATGGAGTTCTGAACCCTACAAAACACTTGGTCCAGATAATCAAGTGTTTACTTTTCACAAAGAGATTTTTTCATAAATTTTTAAATAAGATAGCTAGTGATGATTGATCAAATTGAAAATCAGGCTGGGGATTTAGCTCAGTGGCTCCGCTGCCTGCCTCGCAAGCACAAGGACCCAAGTTCGATCCCCGGTACCAAAAAAAAAGAGATGTTTTTCCTTCCTTGGGCCGGGGATTTAGCTCAGTGTTTCCACTGCCTGCCTCGCAAGCTAAGGACCCAAGTTCAATCCCCAGTACCAAAAACAAACAAACAAACAAACAAACAAAAAAACAAAAATGAAAATCAGATGTTGGCTTTTCAATGTTTCATTAGATGGTATCAATTAGTCTTTTATTAGAATATACTTAAGCTCTCTTTATTTACTTCTCCCTTGCTCTAAAAGCTAAAATATTTCACCCACAAAATATTTCTGTTTTAGATTATCATGACTTTAGTATTATAAAAGAAAAGTTAAAAGAACAAGGATAATCATCAAAAACAAAAAAATCATTTTTAAATTAAACTAAGCCTGGCCAGGTGTTGTGGCACAGGCCTGTAATCTCAGTACTCAGGAAGCTGAGGCAAGAGGATTGCCTTAAATTTGCGGCCAGCCTGGGCTACACAGTGAGTTTAAGGCCAGCCTGAACTACATAGTGAGACCCTGCCTCAAAAAAAATTAATTACGCTAGGCCTGAAATTTAACACTGAAAATAAATTATCACAGAAAAATTCATTTCTATTTTTATTTCAAGTATTTTGGGGTTTCCATGCATTTTTTAAAAAATCTATATAATAATTACTATAAAATGCTATTGGCAATGCAAAACCACTATTCATCATTCATTTTTATTTACTAAAGCAGCATTTGATAACTTCAAGTCATGAAATCAATTTAATGATTGTGACTATCATTCAAGAATTAGAACAGAGAATGTGAGTGCGATGCTGATTACTGAAGCATTAATATTTATACTCACAAATATATGCGTGTATTTGTTCACACTCCCACCCCACCTCCGTACCGGGGATGGAACTCAGAACCTTGCGCTTGCACAAACAACCTTGTACTCACAACCTTGAGCTTGGTCACATTTTAAAATGCATTTTTGGGCCGGGGATTTAGCTCAGTGGTTCCAGCACCTGCCTCGCAAGTGCAAGGTCCAGAGTTCAATCCCTGGTATCAAGAAAAAAAAATGTATTTTAAATATAAAATAACATGCTAAAATAATAAATAATGTTATTGATAAAAACAATATCAGAAAGGAAAATAACTTACTATGGGAGTCTTGACTGTATTAATATTTTCTGCATAACTTCGGTGGATTTATTTATTTATTTATTTTTTGTACGGGGGATCGAACTCCAGTCTTTCCGCTTGCGAGCCAGGCGGCGGAACCACTGAGCTAAATCTCCAGCTATTTCTTAATGTAGCTAATATTTCTGTTTGTTCCTTGCCTCAACTTTGCATCCCATGTTCTAACTAATCATAGTCACAATTATTAGATTTCTAGGCCAGGTAAGTATAATTTCATAAAAGAAATAATAGAATGAGATTAAAGCCTAGAAGTTTCCTATTAATATACTCTTACCTGTTGGTAATCCTTTTCCTCTCAATCGGTCTCGAATAGCCTGGCTTCGATCAGGCTTTTGTTCACTGTTACGGGAAAGCTGATCCGTCTGTACATAGGTAATCAAAAATCAAGTTTGACAAAAGAAACTCTCTTTTGTTTTCACTGTAACTGTCTACAGAATGACACCAGTAAGACAATTTTTGGAGGGTATTGCACTGAAAGACTTAATACTATTACAAACAGACTCCACATCCTATTATAATTTGTATTCCTTGGATAAGATTTTTACAGCCAGTACTGGCCAACTCATCTTCAGGAAATTAAAACTCGAGAAATAATTACCAAAGAGTATTGCCAACTGGGAACATAATTAGCCAGATAAAAGTAATAGTTAAACTGAGTTGCTTTTGAAAACAGTAAACTTGAAGTGTCCATTTTTTTTTCTCCCAACTGGTAACTAATTTATCTTTGATTGAATTATAAAATTTAAAAATCAGATTATGGAATGATGAAACATTCTGCTGATTATAAGTATGTATTGAGAAAACTAATTTAAATTATTTTCAAAAATAATTTTCTAGATCTTGCCTGCCAGAACATTTGAGAAATGTTAAGTCTTTAAACTAACTGGACACATTGGTGGACAGCAATTAAATTTAAATCAATAATCTCTAAATCCCCAACAAAATATTTTAATAATCTTAAACATCAAGAACTTTTAACCAAGGATATTTATTTAAAATAAAGTGCATCCAGTTTGTAATAGCTAAAGCTTGGAAGCAGCCCAAGTGCCCATCAACTGGAAACTGGATAAAGAAAATGTGTTTTTTTTATAAAATGGAGTACTACTCAGCCATAAAGAACGAAAAACTGGAGTCGTTTATAGCTAAATAGATGCATATTGAGGCCATACTCTTAAGTGAAATAAATAAGACACACATGTAAATACCGAATAGTTTCTCTAGTGTGAGAAACTGATAGTGTAAACAAGAGTTAAAATGATTAAAATAATTGATAATTTGAAATAGGAAAAAAGGTCCAAAGATGAAAGAGTGAAGGGAGGGGAAAGGGCAAGGAAAAGAGTGAAAGGAAAAACTATGAGAAAAGAAAAAAAAATGGAAATGAAATCTATGAAAAAAGGGAAGGGTGGAGGGGGTGAAGGGCGCACAGGTAATGGGGAAAAAAATAAGAACCAAGATATATCATGTACAAGTACAAACACCCAATGATAAATGTAAACGAACTGTATACCTAAAATGTACCAATAAAATGTACTAATAAAATTAATTTAAAAATTAAAAAAATAAAATAAAATAAAGTGCTTCAAATTAGGTCAAACTTCATATTATGAAGGGTGAAAAGTTAGAAAATTAGTTTAATCAGAACAACCAAACAGAGGAGAAACATTAAGATATAAAATGGAAGAGAAAATGAAACCAAGTTATTTAAATCTACCACCAAGAGCACGCATACACACTTGTTTCTGCACACACACACACGTTTTAAAATCCCTACATAATTGAAATGTGTTTTACTATGAATTAAAAACCTGTGGAAGAGAGTATATTTGAAGTTCTAGCATGATTCCAACCTCTAAGAAGACTTGAGTGGAAATATTTTTGAAATAATGCTATCCTTTAAACTGCATAAATTGTTAGTCTAGATTACAGCATAGTGTCAGTGGTAGAAAAGATAGTGAACATTCTACATAATTGGGAATTCCTGCATTGAAGCAAATATTAAGAACAGCTGTTGTTATGTGAACAGTTACTCTATCAGTCATTGCTTTAGGACTTTACAAACTATGTTATTTAATTCTCAAAACAACATCATGTAGTAGTTACTATTATTCCTATGTTATATATAACATTAGAAATAGCAAAAAAAAACCTTCTAAGGACCTTAAAACAGCTCACCAATACTGAAATAATTATTTTCACTGCTATTCAGTAATATTAATAGATAGTATGTAATAATATTCCTATTTTGTAAATAACTAAAATTGAGATCAAAATATTACAAAATTGTAAGAACCAAGCAGAATAAGCTGTCCTGGTGATTTTTTAAAAAAATTCTATGCTAACTAATCTTAAGCAAGAATTATTGTTACTCAGAATGGATTTCACAGTAGTGAAAGACTAATTCATTCTATGAACAGTTGGGGATAATAACAGCCTCACAGGAAAGTAACAGCTAAAAGCACAGGCTTTGGGGTTGGAGACATCCAGGTCCAATTATTTCTCAGTCATTTATCATATGTGCAGCAAGAGCCAAGTTATTAAATCATTTTGAGCCTTAGTTTCATCATCACTAAAATGAGATAAAAGTATTTTAGGGTGGAGTTATGATAAAGAAATGTGATGAAGCATATAAATAGCAAACAGTGCCTGGCACAAAGTAAACATATCTGCTGTAGTTACTTCTGTCCAGGGGACTAGGAAGAACAGTGGAAGGGTGGGGGAGAAGTATTCTATTAGTAAAAATTGGCCTCTGTAAACCCAGGTTTTCCACATGCTGATTCCAGCTGACTCTTCTATTTTTCTCTCCCACAACAACCCCCGGCACACCTCATGCCAGACTTACTACTGCTCCCAAACACCTGCTCTTTTCCCATCTTACAGCAGGTATGCAGGTTTACTTTCCTCTGCTGAGATTACTTTCTATCTAGCCTACAAGATTTACCTCAAAGAACTATTTTTTAAATTGAGTTTTAACTTATAGCCTTCCCTGCAAATCTCATAGGTTTTAAAATTTTGCTGTTGTTTTTCAGAGCCCTATTTGCATTTTATAATTAAGCAAATAGTTCTATCTTAAAAGCACCAATATCAAATATTTTATTCAAATATGTCTCCTCTAGTACAAGTTTCAGACATAGATAAACAATAAATATAATAAACTGAACTAAATGTCAAATCTTAAAGGGATAGAGATCTTTTATGTAATATAGGTAATCATTATAGATGAGGTAATAAAATTCCTATGGAGGAATATTTCTTCATGGAAAGGCAGAAGAAAAAATATTTCTAGCAATTTTACTATAGAAGTAAAATCAGCAAAGAACACAAATGTTTTACAGAAGATGTGTTGTAATAGCAAGACCCCTGGACTCAAAAATAAGAAAATTAAATCCTAAAGCTATTTGGAACTCATCTATAAAGAAATAGTTTATAGATTATAAGTGTTATCATAGGCTTATTAAACAAAACCTCTAGGATCAAATAAGTTTGAGAAAAGTTTGGTCAGTATGCTCATCTCTCTTGAAGAGTCATACTACAGTCTAGTGTATTAAAGGTGCTGAGAATTTCTGCAGTGAAAATACATTTAATTTCCTTTAAATGTTTTTTTCTCTCAAGTCCATTTGATCACAGATTTAATAAAAATACATTTGCAGTAATGTGGGAAACTGGTCTGGATAAAGGGCTTTCACATACTTTTACTAGCTTTACCTTTGTTCAAAAAAAAAAGAAACACGTAGAAATAACACAAACAAATCAAAATAGGAACTGCTGTAGTTAAAAGGGTCAAAGGGCAGTCAAGAATCTTAATCACTTAGCCTCTACTACCCCATCCCTCACTGCAGAACTGCGAAAGCTTAAAAGGAGACAGTTTATAAGCCATTTGTCCAGAAGATCCCTGAGCCTGTTTCTTATCAACTACAAATTTATGGAACTTGGATATATTCTTCGAAGCCATACAATATCCTAGCTAAGATGAGGGAACTAAACTTCTTGAGATGAAGAATCAAGGAGAGGGCCAGGGATTTAGCTCAGTGGTTTCGCCGCCTGCTGCACAAGCCCAAGGACCCAAGTTTGATCTCTAGTACCAAACCTCCCCACCCCGCCCCCCCAAATAAAAGAAGCCAGGAGAAACCCTGTGTAACAGCAACAAATTTATAGCCCACCAAAGGAGAAGAAATTACCATGGGAAAGAGCAGATAAGGTTTAGATGCAGAGGAGATATGAAAAACCAAGGAGTATTCAAACTAGGCCAAACAGGATAGAAGGCAGGTGAAGGGATGCAGAGCAGAGATGGTACTGTCAGATACAGAGTTTGTTATTCTTGGGATTCTTCATATCCAAGACAAGAGGAAATGGAAGAGTCCAAGTCTTGTGGTCATCTGGCAGAAACACAGCATGGACGCTTCCAACACACCAAGATGCCAGTGTCCAAAGAAGATGGGAAAGGTTGGAAAAAAACCTTGCCAGGGATTTAGCTCAGTGGTGCCACCGCCTGCCTTGAAAGCACAAGGTCCCGAGTTCGATCCCTCAGCACCAAAAACAAAACAAAACAAAACAAAACAAAAATCTAAAGAATCCAGACAAATGAGTGGCCAAGAAGCAGGCATAAAGAAATAGGAAAGAAAAGGTATTTAAAATATTTCTAAATATTTTTCATGTTAATGCATTTTTCTCTAGGTGTTCACAATGATAGAATCACTTTAAAAGGTCTTTGGGAAAATACCTCGGAAGGCAAAAGCAGACACTTCTAGCTCAAGTTGCTGTGATCCTATGATGTCTTCTGGAATAAAGTGCTAAAGAACCCCAGCTCTCATAAAATGTAGGAGACTAAGCAACTGCAATAGTCTTCTAAATTTTAAGTATTGTTTCAAGTAAACAATTAACATTTGGATAATAAATTCAATTTCTCATTCCTAGTCTTCACTGAGAAAATGTTGCTTAATACAGTATTTTTAAAGAAAATTGTGATATGACACTAAATTTTTATATATGGAACTGTAGCTTACCCCAGAAAGATTTCCCAGAACCAGTTTTACCAACTGCTTCACATAGGAAAATGAAGGTGCACAATTGCTGTTCCTGATGTGGGCACTGCAAGCATCCAGGACAGTCCGAACAGAAACCCGAGCATAAGTAGTGTCCTCACACATTCCAAGCAATATACTGTTGAGATGATCTCCAAGCTTAATGGGCTGAAAATAAAGATAGGAAAAGCCATGTTAAGTATGAATAATCTTCTTTCCAATGTGAGAAAAGCCTGTCTATGAATCTTAGGAAACACAACAAGCATATTTCAAATGCACAGAGAAAATGAAATCTTTCCCTTCTAGCACATACATATTTTGGTGCATTTTACCATTCCTGGTCCAAAAAAATTAACAGAAGATGGTTAACATACATCTTCCCAGATAGGAAGTATTACAGAAAACAGCTGGGTTGTTTTGTTTTCTTGATGAAGAAGTGGAATTTTTTGATTATTCAAATATTTTGGAAAACAGTTCTTGCCTATATACCATTTGGGGGCAGTAAACTGTTTTCTAATATTCAATAAGATATAATACATTTTCTCTATATAAATATAATTTGATATTTCTACCATAAGGCGGAAGATTTCAGGTATTACAATGACTCAAGATCACTTAAATACAAGTTCTGATCTGGGGAAACAAAGAACACAATCATGTGAGATTATTTTTATTAGTTAACATAATTTTTGGAATATTATATCCAAGTGGCCAATAAGCATATTGAGTGGTCAACATCATTACTAAGAAATGCAAATAAAAATCACAGAAGAAGCCACAAAGGAACCGAAGGTACAGTTTATCAGTAGAGCAGAAGTTTGATCCCCAGCACTGCCAAATAAATAAAAGCCACTTTTCATCCAATGTATAAAGACTAATAATACAAAATACTGGTAAACAGTAGAGCAACTGGAACGCTCCATTGCTGATGGGAAGTTAAATGTTTACATCTACTCATGACCCTTTCAGCTTCTCATCCATTCAGTTATTTTTTCTTTTAGGTTGTAGCTTAGAGGGAGTGTCCTTCAAGAGACCCGCCCTGATTCTGCAATTCTAATCAGGAGCCCCAACTATTTTGCTACAGCCCTATCCATTTCCTCTAACATAGCATTCACGATGTGGCGAACTATTTAGCTGTTTATAACCTTCCCATCGATTCCAGGTGTGACCAACTGTTGTCTTAGTGTATAGGCAATGTCTTGATACAAGAAAGATACTTAATAAATATTTTTAAATTAATATGCAATATTTCCAAAATGATGGTTTCTGATCAACACATAAGTTTATATTTCCTATTTAATTTACTCATTATTGATACTGACTTTATTTCTAGTTATCGGAAAAGATTAAAATGTTAACTACAAACTGTGACCACATTTTACATGAAGTTTGGTCTCCTGATATATAACATGAACATTTCTAGTAATAATTTGACTTTCTTATTTATACTTACAGAACTGAAAGTGAGAAGAGATAGAAAATACACACTATTTTTCATGACGTAAAATTAGATCAAGTTAAGTTGAATCATCTTTCATGGATTTTAAGATGTTTGTGAGTTTAGGCTAAAATCCTTGTTACTTCTGATATTTAGTAAGAAAAAATATTTAGTTTTGGTTTTGACTTCTAAATACTTAAAATAAAACCCAATTTTAAATGTTATACTAGCTTTGAAAAAATAAAACTATTTCTAAATTTTCAATTACTACTTACTACTATGTTTATATTGACGTATACAATGATTCAAGAATCAGAACTATTTTAGAAAATAAAGACTAGAAGTGGCTCAATGGTCATCCAAGTCTAAGACCTGAGAAGGTATTATCCTGCACCTTCCGTTGCAGGGGTAGCAAAATATGATTCTGAATTGCTAAGAGAAAGCAGAAATGATGTTCTCTCATACTATCTGCTGACAGTAGAGTGAGGGCTACTATTATTATAATTTTGGTATCAAAGGGGTTCTACTTTCGGTGCAAGAATGGACCATCAAGGATATTTATAATCCTGCCGGGGATTTAGCTCAGTGGTTTCACCACTTGCTGCGCAAGAGAAAGGACCGGCGTTCGATCCCCAGTATGAAAAAAAAAAAAGATATTTATAATCCTTAGCAGTCATTAAATTAGAAGAAATAAAATATATTCCCATTTCCATGGCTATAATTTTTGAAGAGGCCAACTCTTTCACAGACTGAATTATTAAAACTTGAGTGATGACTGCTATAATTCTAAGAATACCTTGAAAATAATTTCATTAGTATTTATACTGTTAATTCATTCTGAAAGGGTGACATTATTGACATGAACAACCAGTATAAAAATGTGGACATGCATACTAATGTGCTGTAATCCACAAGTACATGAAAGAACTTTTTAAAAACTGTGAAACTACACAAAGGTAAAAAGGATAACAAATGTAAAAACAACTTACTTGGCTCTGAGGTACTTCATGATCAGCCCCCCAATATAATGTCATTCCAAGAGAATAAATATGGATCTAGAAATAAATTTTTAAACAATCATTTTATGATAGAATAAAACATTTTGTAAGTACTATATTTTTTTATTTCAAAGAACATATGAATACAATTTGAGAAAAATCGTTTTATATTCTGCATGAGTTTAAAACAGAAAACAAGATAAAAAATTATTAGAATAGATCTTTTTTACAATTCTGAGCCCATTACTTGTGAATAATACTTTAAAAGCTTTTATTTGAAGTTTAGATCTTATTCAAATGGGAAGAGGACAAAGAGATGGAGGGAGGGGGAAAGGAGAAAGGGAACATATAAAAAATTAAAATGTATTATGTATATGTATCAATTCCCATGATGAATGTGATCACTATTTCTACAAACATGTACTCATAAAAATAAAAATTAAAAGTATAAAAAGCATAAAGTTTCTTCATCCAAATTCAACCAAATATGTATAGTCATTTTTCTCTTCTTTTACAAAATCTCAAATTTTAAGTTACTCAGTGCCTTGTATTTTTAATTTATCAAGGGAAATATTTCCATATCAATGGGTAGAGAACTTATCCATTTTTACTATTGCAAAGAAGTTTGTTGTGTGATGTAACATTATTTAACCAATCTGTTACTAAAGGGCAATTAAGATTTTTGCAAATGTTTTCTATTATAACTAATGTTTCAACAGTTTTAAGATGTAATTTTGTACATGAAAGTATTTCTCTTGGATTAATTCTGAAATTGTGGATGAACAGGCTAATCACCTATAGTTTTGATACATATTGTCACATTCAACTACATTGAAGTTTTATCATTTTGCATTTCAACCAGCAACAAGATTTGGATTTTTGCCAGTATAAAATGTGAAAGTAAAAGGAAATCTAATTGCAATTTTGCTTAACATTTTTTTCACGACAAATGTCTAGTGTTGGAAAAGAAGAAGATGCAGGATCAAAGTTTTCTTTTGTGTTGTTTGCTTCTTAAAGACTGGGGGGAAAACAACATATTTTTATGTGGATAGGAATGATCTTGCAGGGGAAGCTAGACATGCAGATGAGAATGGCAGCTGATGGAGGAAACTGTTGAGTAGAGTGGTGGAGTTGGAAGGTAAAGTACAAATGAAGGATTGGCTTTACAGAGGGGCACAGTCAATCAACTGGCGAGGAGGCAAAAGACAGGGGAATTCATGTGGCCAGCGGGTAAAGGGATGCTGGGAAAAGCCTCTTGCCTGATTCTTGTTTTGTTTTCTTTTGTTTGCTTCTTATGTAAGAAGAAGCAAAATTACCTGCTGAGAGTGGGGATAGTTTATCTTTTAAGTAATCACCTTTCCCTTTTCCTCCTAAGTAAGAGATTCACAGATAAACTTTTAGCCTATCTCTTATCAATACTGGATTCTTATTGCATACTTTTTTGGCACCAACCATATCTTGCTTTGTCTTATTTTCTTGCCTTTATTTAACACTACTTCTATTTTCTCACCATTATTTCTTAATTCTCTCAGTTAACTCTCTCAGGGGCCCGGGACTTAGCTCATTGGTTTTGCCCCCTGCTGCACAAGCTCAAGGACCCGAGTTCGATCCCTCATACCAAAAAAACCACAAAAAACCTCTCTCAATTCTTTAGAAATTATTGATAATATGTAATTCAAAGTGGGTACCATTCTCACAATCTCATAACATTTTAATATAATTTTTATATTGTCACCTGAATTATAGATTAGAAAAATGGATCTGCTTTACAAATATTTTCATGACTCCTAAATTTTACAAAGCAAAATTTTTTATAATAACCTTTAGTTTTTGTTTTCTTTCTTTCTTTATTTATTTTTTTGGTGGGTTTTTTTGGTATATCCTTTTATTGGTACATTTTAGGTGTACAATATAATGATGTTCATCATTGGAAATTTGCACCTTTACATACTCTCTTGATTCTTATTTTTCCTCCCTTCAACC